CCCCCCAGGAAATTTGGAAACCCCCCCAGATAGGTCTCTGGATCCGCCACTGTTTAAACATAATAATAAATAAATTAATGCTTTCTATGAATGCCGGTTTTGGAGAATGAAATTTTGGTTTACGATCAAGCATCAGTCACTTGCCGTTATATCATGAGTCACGGAAGCTAAAAAGCAATATTACTATTTCTATGGCCTTCATAAAAACGAAGTATATGTCGCTTTTCGTTCCCATTTTTTTGGTGGCATGAACTTTTCTAATAGAATATTACAAATAAAAATCTAGACTGCCCACTACTTATATTACAGCATTAAATAAATCATAAAAGACTTCAGGTATTATACCATTTCGAAATAACATTTATATTAAAAATCGATGGCATAAAAACGGAAGTTCAACTTGAAATAAATTATGTAAAATAGCAAAAATAATAGCTGTATATCTCCTAAAACTGATTTTATGATATCATTTTACCTAGGTTCACACAATATTTTTTTAGTTGGTCGTTAATCTTAGTTTATATATATATATATATATGTACTATAATCATGGTCAGGAGGTTTTTCATTATTGTTGCAATGTGAAGCGTATTTTTTATAAATATCCTGATGAGGAAATTTTCAGTTTCTAATATCGGTAATGTTATTTGTTATTTTATATATAATATATGTTTATGTTATTACAACGGCCATTTTACCTTATACTACATGCCTTTATATGTCTAATCTAATTCTGTGCTCTGACTCGTCGGACTTAACAATCCCATATATGTACTTGTTTCATAATTATAAGGCCCTGTGAAAGGTCGGTCAGTATCTAGGACGATACCCTGTCGTGGGCCCCTCTTCTTATTGAATATCAGCCAACGGCGGAAGTGACATCATGGGTAGCTGATTTATTCTGCCTGGATATAAATTCACAGGAATCTACCTGGCGCAGAATGTATAGAACAGCATAGAATCTCAAAGCAAGGTGAGGGCAATTTTATTATTTCATCTTCACATTGAATTAGAGTGTTAAATTAGTTGTCATGCTAGAACAATCGATACAAACCCTTCTCATGGGGCGAGTGTTTCAGTGGCATGTTGAACCAAAGGCAGCAAATATAGCCTAGTGACCTAACATCTGACCATTACAGTACTAGGCTATAACGATTTAGGTCAGGTTGTACGAACAAGGTCACGGTTAAAAAACAATTTTGTCCAAGAAGTCATCATGTTTCATTGATATATGTATTGTTTCTTTTGTTAAATATTTGCGTTCGCTTTGTTTACTTTAGTCATCTAGTTGTAACAGTCAAGTTACCTGTCGATCTGTTCCTTCGTTATCATCTCATGCTCTGTATTTACTTTAGTGGGTTGGTCCTTGTTTTAAGAAAAAAACACGCAATATTAAGAAGTCGTTTAGAATATTATTTGCATTTTAAATTTTATTTTTTGTTCATTGAGATGAGGATGATATACAGATAGTTACAGTATAGTGTGCACATTCTATTTATATCTATGACAAAACCCTCCGTGAGAAACATGTGCTAGTGTGTGGTATAGCAGCATCAATGTTAACACGTGATTCATCATGTTCGCCAGCCCAGTACAGTTTTGGCGGGTTTCGACTGCAGTATTGAAATCAAAATATAGTAATGAAATATTGAAATGAAAACATATCAGATTTAGCAGATTGAATTTGATTTAATTTCTGTTTTCCCTTTTTTCTAAAATTTTATAAAATCAAATGGATCATGCACAGCTTGTACATTGCCACAAGTGCATATAATTGCCTGCAATCCCATTTTATGTACAAAGAAATAAAGCTCAGTAATCAACGGTGAACCATTACGAAATTAAGAACTAAGCTTACAGGTAATTAAAATGTCTTTTAATTCACAGGTTAGATATTTAGGTGTGTAAGGAGGCAGTACCCAAATCGGATCAGTACCCAAATCGGATCAGTAGGATCAGTACCCAAATCGGATACTTACAAATAAATTAATAAATGTGTCAACAAATCAGTTATCACAATGATGTAGTCTTAGAATAGATAGCCATGCACCATTTTATACAGATGATTATTTTTTAAGTTTAAATAGCACAAGAAAACATAATTCAAACTCAAATGTCAGTGTTTTGATCACGTTTTTTAAAAATGGCGCGTGCGACGACTATGCATTCTGTTTTGGACTATAGGAATAATTCACACTATAGAAATAATTTTTGTCAAATAAATTCTAAAGGTCATCATAAATTGTTAATATGCTGTCAAAAAAATATTCATTTGGAGCGTATAAGATACTGCAAAATTCAAGCTTTGATCTGATTTGGGTCCTGACATTCGCAAAAAAGGGAGACGCTGATTATCATTTATGAGGTGACTTCAGAGCGTTCTATAAATATCTTAAGCGAGCCTCGGGTGCTAATTTCGTTTGTAAGAACACCCATCCATATTCTTCCTTTGATATAACATAAATGAAGATGTAAGATTATCAATGTCAAAACAATTACGATTCATGCCCATAAAACCTAGCTGAAATGTATGTCTTCTGTTGGGGCTGCACTTACTTCCCCTCTTAACAATGATCAGAAAAAAAATAGTTCAGTACAATAAATGTTTATTATATATATAGCCATAATATTGTAAAAAAATAAACTTGTCCACATGCTTGGCACCATGCAACTTAGAAATCCAAGGTCCCGTTCTTGATACAATATATATATATGTATATTGAAAGTGATTTCAAAGATACTGTAGGTTTGATATATATATATAAACCACATATTTAATTTTGATAAAAAATGTCTATGTCTTAGTAAAAGTGATATCTGTAGGAGTTTTTGAAGACAAATCCTGACAAATCAAAAGCATTTTCCAAAGTTACAAGTCTAATTACTAAGAGATATGATGATGGTGTGAGTGCATTTTTTTTTACACAACTAAGTAAAACTTTATAGACGCTTGTTTAATGTGTATGAACAATCATTTACTAATGTATTTATATATAAAGTCATGTATGTTTTGTTTTGTCCTGTAAAAAGTTAAAAGTTAATAATAATAAAAAAAGAGAAATATGGACGGTACTTAGTTTGTGACTGACTCTGACAGAAAAAGTAGGACTCAAATATCTCAAAAATCACTGAATGTTACGTTTGTTTCTTTCAGAAAGAATCTCAACTGTGTTCCAGGAAGACAGAGCAGGATGCCAGAACCCCAGTTGATGGGCTATAAGCCCACCAGTGTAGAGGGATCAGGTAATGTACTGCTCCTGTGTTCCTGAAACCTTATAATTATCAACCCAAATATAATCTAGTAATTAACATCCAGAATAAAAAAACACTTGTCATCATATAACCATCAAACGGTAACGGCTTGTTTGCTGGAGAATATATAATATGGACAGAAAAAAATGCAGACTCATGTAGAAACTGGATTACTACATTGTATTACATTCCATTTCACACATGTAGAAACTGGATTACTACATTGTATTACATTCCATTTCACACATGTAGAAACGAATTACAGTGATGGTAGAATATCAAATGAAGCTTATGACTGTATTAATTAATATATGCATGGCCTAGATATTTGTGATTAGTCTTTATTAACCTACAGAAGGTATTTTTTCTGAAAACAGTACAAGTACATCCTAGTTTGGATTAGTTTTGTATTGATTTTAAGATTTTAAAAGTACATGTAGCTAATATGTTTTAAGAATATGACTCTTCATTGCATATATATATATATTGCTTAATTTTTCTGAATCTTGATTAGATACAATTATACATGATAAATAACATGTTGCATATATTTTTTTTTTGTTCCATCTGAACGTCCATTTTCTTCTGAAATACCCAATGTTGTAACTGTTTTACTTATTGTTTCTCTCTCAATTCTTTATCTCAAATTGCAAATGTTTACTTTTGCATTTTCCAAAATGTATTTTTCATACTATTTATAAAACTGAATACCTGTTTTCACTCCTTGAAAATGAAATTTCAATCAGTTGACAAAATTAATATTTTCCATTTTCATTTGAAACTAAACACTAAGAAAATGAGAAATGTTTGCCCTTAAACCTGAGGATGAATTAACTCATTCACCCCTGAAGACACATTTGGACTCTTCCATCAAAGGTTGGAATAGTTCATTATGAAATTTCAGGGTTGAATGAGTTGATATTAGCATTGACGGGTATATAATCTATACACAAAAATCTATAGTGAACAGTATACCCAGAGGTACATGTATATGAGGGCTTATGAAACATTCAGAAATTCTGTTTTAAATGTAAAAGCAAGACTTTCGACAGAAGGAAAACAATATATACGTTGCATTTTACTGTAAAAATCATCATGATATAGCTTAATTCATTCACACCTGAAATTTCATTATGAACTTTTCCAACCTTTGAATTGGGGGAGTTCAAATGTGTCTTCAGGGGTAAATGAGCTTATTACATTACAGTTGAAATCATCATGACATAGCTTAATATATTGCATTACTGTAAAAATCATCATAGCATAGCTTACACTTAATGTTTAAGTATGCATGTGTGTCCACACATACTTTTGTCAAGTACACTATTTTAGGTCACCTGAGTCACGGATGAGGTGACCTTTTTGTGATTGGCTTTAAAAAATATCTTGGTCATTCCTGTCTTCTACCCTCTAAATTGTCTATGATGTACATGTCTTGTTGTACAGTGTACATATTTCTGGTTTCGTAAATTGTTGTATTTTCATTGTTATATTGTACTGTTCCAATCTGCTGGATTACACAGTGTTCTCACTAAGTTTTGAAACAGGTGGTTCAGTTGGAAAGAAAAGCTGACCTGAACGTTCACATGCTAAAATAATGACCTATATATATTCTGATCGAAATAGGTGGTTCAAAAATGATAAATAGCAGACTGTTTTTGCCAACAGCCAGCTTTAAATGAAAACACTGCTACAAGTTAATACCAATTTGTGGTGGTGGTGATTGATGGAATAATTAGGGTAAATAACCTATTATTTTACAGTGCGCCTGTGATGGATACAAATGTGCAGTTACTGGAATGTATATATTCTAAGAATTTATAGGAAGATTGAGAACTTTTATCTCAGCGTGCAAATCAACTGATAAAGTGGTGCCTTCAGAAACTGTTTCACAAACCTAACACATTAAAAAGTCACCAAAATCAATATATCATTACCAAATTACCGCAAAATGTAATATTGGGGAATACTGCCATGAACTATCTATCTGAACCCAGATTATGATCAATGTTTAGCCAATAAGATGGATACTTTCCGACTTGTAGTCTAGTAAACGTAAGAATTGACCATGGGGCTATGATAGAGTTTCTATCGCACCGTAGTCTAGTAAACGTAAGAATTGACCATGGGGCTATGATAGAGTTTCTATCGCACCGTAGTCTAGTAAACGTAAGAATTGACCATGGGGCTATGATAGAGTTTCTATCACACCGTAGTCTAGTAAACGTAAGAATTGACCATGGGGCTATGATAGAGTTTCTATCACACCGTAGTCTAGTAAACGTAAGAATTGACCATGGGACTATGATAGAGTTTCTATCACACCGTAGTCTAGTAAACGTAAGAATTGACCATGGGACTATGATAGAGTTTCTATCACACCGTAGTCTAGTAAACGTAAGAATTGACCATGGGACTATGATAGAGTTTCTATCACACCGTAGTCTAGTAAACGTAAGAATTGACCATGGGACTATGATAGAGTTTCTATCACACCGTAGTCTAGTAAACGTAAGAATTGACCATGGGACTATGATAGAGTTTCTATCACACCGTAGTCTAGTAAACGTAAGAATTGACCATGGGACTATGATAGAGTTTCTATCACACCGTAGTCTAGTAAACGTAAGAATTGACCATGGGACTATGATAGAGTTTCTATCACACCGTAGTCTAGTAAACGTAAGAATTGACCATGGGACTATGATAGAGTTTCTATCGCACCGTAGTCTAGTGAAGTAAGAATTGGCCATGGGGCTATGATAGAGTTTCTATCACACCGTAGTCTAGTAAACGTAAGAATTGACCATGGGGCTATGATAGAGTTTCTATCGCACCGTAGTCTAGTGAAGTAAGAATTGGCCATGGGGCTATGATAGAGTTTCTATCGCACCGTAGTCTAGTAAACGTAAGACTTGACCATGGGACTATGATAGAGTTTCTATCGCTCCGTAGTCTAGTAAACGTAAGAATTGACCATGGGACTATGATAGAGTTTCTTTCGCACCGTAGTCTAGTAAACGTAAGAATTGGCCATGGGGCTATGATAGAGTTTCTGTCGCACCGTAGTCTAGTAAACGTAAGAATTGACCATGGGGCTATGATAGAGTTTCTATCGCACCGTAGTCTAGTAAACGTAAGAATTGACCATGGGACTATGATAGAGTTTCTATCGCACCGTAGTCTAGTAAACGTAAGAATTGACCATGGGACTATGATAGAGTTTCTATCGCACCTTACCTGCCTGATTTGTGATATGAACAAGATTGGGAGGCTCTTGTACCAGTTTGATGATAGTTCTACCCCAGGGGGTAATTTATCTACCATTCTCCTAAAGAATTATGAAAGATAGAGTATTCTCCTCCCATGTTTCTTTGTGATGTCATAATTATGATGTCCCTCATTAGGCACGAATGTAAACTTATTATCGTAAGTATACAATTTAAATATTCGGTAGGTAGAGCCTAAGCATTTCAATTGCGGGGAAAAAGATGTTTTTAACGAGATTATTCATGTGTATATATATGGAGATGATACCCAAGCTAGTATGGTTCTGTTATTATAGTGATTGTTTTGGGATGTACCTCTGTGGGATTCACACAAAGAATAAATATTTGTCCCTTTTTCCCAACATGCTCGCATAATCAGCAGGGCAAGAATAATCACTGTTATTATCATGATAGAGAAATTTATAATTTGTAATATAAGACTGGTGCTGTTCCGTCTCCATGGTGATGGCTGTATACTATATAAGGTCGTGGATAACAATGCGTCTAGATAACGATGCAGACACAGCTGTATGTCAATGACATCAGCGTGTCATATTGTAAGTCTATGACTTGCCTTCTAAATCCTAGGTACAACACACCTGTGGCTGTCAGGCCAAAATACTCAAATAAATGTTTCATTTTACCGGTATCCAAAACTTGATCTTGTGTACTTGAAGCAGAAGATTATTTATTGTTCATCAAAAACATCAAATGAAATATTTTCTTAAAATACTTATGTGGCACACAGCGTGCCTATTTCACTAAGTTTTTAATAGATAACATTTTTTTTTGTCAGTTTTTATCTTTTACAATATTGTGCTTAGGGTGGCCTTCTTATCTAGAAATTCTTTCGTGACTAAGAACACTGTTGTATTGATCCAGTTTGAATACGACTAGGGAATTTATAGGAAGAGGTCACTCCAGTGCAGCCATTGACAAGTTGAAGTAAGACAATATTAAGTGGATCTGATCAGTAATAAATCATATGGTACTATATAGGTACTGCTCTCTGTCTCAGAGGGAGGCTCCATAGTCCTTACTACTTCAGACCAGCGACTAAACTATAGGGCTAAATGATTCTCAGTCGAGCTACTTTTTCATCAAATTTAAACTTCCCCAGTAATGTAAATAGTCAACAGGTAGTTGTGGTGACCTATATATATCAGGTATCAATCTGTGTCATTGAATGAAAACTCAGAGCATTGTCAGTAGCAAAGACTGTGTATGAATAAAGAATTGTCAGTAGCAAAGACTGTGTATGAATAAAGAGGTACTGGACCATGACTTGACCAGGTTCATGTGTAGCCTCAAACTCATAATTGTACGTGTATTACAATTATTTTTTTTAAACGAAAAACACCTGTCACGTAGGTCCAAAATGATTAAGTAACTTTGATATATTCAAAGTCACTTCAGTAACTTATCTAGATGTAGACAAAATTACACGTTTTACAGGGTGTTCTATTGTTGCTCTATTTTCAGGAGTGTAAAGAACCGTAGGAATACTGTACATACAACAACAACCATCTACATAACAAATAACAATATTCTGAAACACAATAGTAGTTATAAACAACAGAAGAATGCAGAACAGGTATACACATAGGGCAATACGATTTTGACATACTTCAAATTAGCATTATATAGTGACCATTTCAATTACGTTTTGACCATAATTACATATGTCTTAACTCTTTTGTGTATGAAAAAACAAATTGGGTC